TGATTAGTCGATTGACAGAAAATTATTGGGCAACTATTTTGATAACTGTAATAAGTTTTCATGTAGTTCATGGTTACTGTTTCTCAGTTATTTTAATTGTTTCAATGTTTTTCTAATTTTTTAGAGTTCAAGACTATTGATTGGACAAAACAAACCAAACAACAAAAAATATACAAAATAGTTCAAATTTAGCTCCATCTTAACCAACTACAACAGTAAAATCCTTATTGCATTAATAATGATAATCTATAATAGTATAACACTCACAGTCTATGAAAAATATCATACAGAATATAATCCAACGTCTATTGAATATGGAAAATAGATGACATAGCCCCAAGGCACACTTTGTCTTACAGCCTGTTGACTCTTCCTTTCTCTTTCTGTTTACAGGGATTTGTTCTGAGCCTCTCAGTCAGGTCAGAGCTGAGGAATGTGTGGAATGACTTCTAGTTCTCCTTGAAGGCTAAACGGCAAGGCAATAAAATTATCTCCCTGCTGCCACATGCTCATATTCCAGGGAAAATGATAACACATCAGTGAAGCATTCTGAAAATGTACTTAGTGTGTACAAACCGTGGTGTCTTCGGAGCACGAGGCGATGCAGTAGTCGTTGAAGGGATTCCACTTGACGTCTAACACGTTTCCTCTGTGGCCCGACACTCTGGGGTGGTGAGGGTCCACTTTACCTGTCTGATAGCCGGACACACAAAAATAAAACGAATTACAACAGAGAACACATTCATTAACCCATGTATAGAGTATTATTGGGTTGAAAGGGAATTTGGGGTATATGCATATTGGTTTTCTTGCTGAGACTGACACCACTAGTATACAGACTGGATGCAGGGGGAAACAGCTAGCACAGCTCTGTCCAAAGCAAGGTTATTATAGTTAACTAAAACTAAACTAAAAACTAAAACTCATGTGTGGAAAAACATTTTAGTTAACTGAAATATTTAATTTTTTAAAAAACAATTTCGACTAAACAGGTAAAACCACTATGGAAACTAACTGAAACTAAACCGAATTAAAAACACAAAATAAAAACTATGTACTATAATAACGCTGATCCAAAGGTAACAAAATCTGCCCATCAGCATGTCTAATTAACACGTTACATCAAGTTTGTTTAAGTTGAGCAAAAACTGAAGTATAAAAATGTCAATTCACCATTTTATAGGGGGGTTGTATGCTAGACTATTTCTACTAGGACTGAGGGGAACTACAGAGATTATCCATGGGTTCATCACTTCAAACAGCCCCTTCCACATGACTTGTATTCATTAAATGTAGGAGTGCTCTTTTAACAATACAACACTATCGGACTAAAAATGGACAGTTTTAAAGTCAGTGCTGCAGAACCATGCATTTCTCTTCCTTGTCAAAACCTGGTGCCTACATTACCCACAATGCAACTCAATTCGCTAACAGTCCGGTAGGAGAATCAGGTGTATTAGACTAGCGGCTTGAGGCTACATTAGCAACTACTAGCCGCTCCATCTTTCCGGCACCACACCCCCAGAATTTTGCCTTTAGTAGAAGTACAGACACTTGCCCTGAGGCCAACTCTGCAGCAGGACAGAGTCAATCTGCGCAGGTCAGGACAAGATTTCGATGTGTTCATGACATTAACATGAAACGACAAAGACTGAAGGTGGAATTACACAAAACGTTTGTGACACACGCACTGGTATTCAGTGATCCCTGTTACAGGAGGGAGAACTCTTACTTAAGATTTTCTGCCTCAACAAGACTGCTAATTATGCTGTTTGTAAGAACAGAACCTTCCTTTAACTGACACACACACACCTGCAGGCTAAATTACTGTGCAGGTAAGGTGTGTTTGGAGCATGGGGATGATGTAAACATTAACTAACAAACGCACAGGTAACTAGGACATAGCCCTTCTGTTCTTGTATTTTATGTGTGTTACCTACTTTCCCCCACAGAACAATAGCTCATCTGTAAGCACATAGATGGGAGGTGGGGGTGCAGAAGTATCACCTCCTCAAGACATTGAAAGGAGTGGAAGAGGAGGAAGGGAGGGAGAGGGGGCTCAAAAGATGAGTTATGTCATTCCTAAGCTTGTATGCAATTCCTGCTCATGCCAGGAGGATGGTGATAATTCACCAAGACGATTTAAAAGATGGAGACGAATGGAGAGAGGGAGAAAGGAGGGACCGGAGATATACAGCAGGACTGTAAATTTAACCTGCACACAAGTGAGGAGGTCTGGCTGAGTTTATTTGAGAGATTACTGTTGTTTCTGATAACACCAGTGGATGCGATAATAAGCATAAATAATGTCTGGAAGAGTAGTTTGATTAATCACGTTAAAGCTCAGGTTGGTGAGGGAGATAAGACAGAAAAATGAGGAGTAAAAAAAGGACCACATGTGATGTTTAGGCTGTAGTGAATGAGCTGCCGGGGGGGGGGGGGGTTTC